ATTTCCTTTTGAAATCTTCACTTGTAAACTCCACCAGGTCCTGAAACCAGCCCATCTGTAGAGCACACGTTTGGGTAGAGACAAGGGATTGGATAGAATTGAGTGAGACTAATTTTGACACTGACTGATAACAGACTCACAACTAATTTCCCCAAAGCCAAGTGGGAATGAGGGTAGGAGTAGGGGGTATAATTTCTTGGTGGGTGTGGGGAGGGAGAAGAGAGGTTATTTTCTCATCTAGGAGGTGAGGAAGACATGAATACCGTCACAACCCACCTACCACCGGGTATAAGCTCCAATTTTTACTGTTTTTACCCTCTTGAGAAGGAGGGAAATGATTTTCTCCTCTCCATTTTTCTGTGCCCATACAAGAGAAGGCCCTTCCCAGAAAAGAGTAGAATTGGCCAGGAAATTTGGCAGGAGTTATAAATGAGTGCTTAGGGATATTAACAACAGATATAGAAAGTTTGGAGTGGGTTGCAGAAGGCAAGATTGATTATCACTTACTGGTGTGTGAACACAGAAGACCAAGAAAAGGTGAAGAGGAAGATGGTGAGAGGGAGAGTTGAACTTAATATCCATTAGCACCTAAGAGGGTCCCCAAAACCCTGTTGCTGACCAATCTTGTTCAATCTAACTGATAACACATAAAATCCTGATAGTCACAGTCGTCAGACTCTCACCATAACAATTATTTATTTGGCCCAATGATTCTTCTGCTATTGCTGTCAGCTCCACCATCAAGTCAACAAGGATTCAGCAACAGTCCACAAAAATACACACAAGCTATTGATAAAGTGGCTGACCTGACATCTAGCTAGGTGTGCCATCCAGCCCCTGGGACCACTGAAAGGGCAACCTTTTAGTACCCACAAGAATGTGATTGTAAAGGACATGGCCAAAGGAACAATAACTTCATACACATCAAGCATCCACCTACTGCCAAACACAATGGATTTCACATCACAGTGATGCAGTCCTAATAAGGTTGCCCCCAGGTCCAATATTCTAATTTCCTTATGGGCCCCAGTGAACAGCAGGCATATCCTGATTCAACCACAGAATCTAACTTTAACTACCCCATAGGCCCCAGACTCAATCATAGGCCTCACTGAACAGCCAGCTCACTGCCCCTAGCTAGCCACTGCCCTCAAACTCAACATGCTAGCCACTGTCGCAGATCCAATTCAAATATTTGAACAGGTGTGTCCTTATACTCAGCCACAGTCACATCATCCATTTAGCCCAAGACAGCACTACAATACCTAACTATCCATCTTGACCAGAGAGGACCACAATAGCTAGCCAATCAGAAAGCAGCATGACCAGGTTTGACCACTGAACCATAGAAGGGACCCCTCCCCATTACCTAACCCCCTAACATATCCCTCCTGTCTTTTGAATATTCATAATTTCTGTTGCGTAATCAACATCATTATACTATAAATTTGCCTGTGTTGTCTCATTAAGTTGCTGGTTCCTCTTGAAACCTAATCTGCTTCTGAGGGGCATCAAGCCTCAATAAATGCCTGTACTTGGATTGGAGATGGTCTGACTCTGAATTCTTTGAGACAGTGCCACCATAATAGACCATGAAACCACATCAGGAAGTGGAAGACTCTGAGACTTGGGGAATGGAGGTCAGGGATTGTCAGACCCCACAAGATATGGTGGGATGGATGTCAAGTTACAATCATAAAAGTCACTATAAAAACATGTAGTAGTGGAGCCAGTAGACCACTGTTAGATACAATGTACATTTGTGATGGGGAAGAATCACCTTAATCTCCCTCCAATTGAACGTGTTTCCTAGGATCTCTATTCCCACCCACCCCCTTTTTTTTCCAGACAAAGACAAGGTTTATTAGAACATTTGTCACATTGGGCAGACTTAAGGAATCTGAGCATCCGTGAGCTATTGGCTAGATTGTAAGAATCTGAGCCAACCCTTTACAATATACACCAAACTAACCTTTGAATTCATAGGGTTATAATGCATAAGGCAAGAACTACCAGGAGGACAGTCCAATAATCAGTTGTCTTCTCTTTGGTTTTTCACTCCCAGGGCCCCAAACTTTCTGCAACCTAAGAATGATTAGGAATTTAACCCGTATGATAGAAATCAAGCCAATGAAATGGTCCAACACATAGAAGAGCAGACCAAGAGTCTAAATTTTTTTGGAAGAAGGGAAGGATGGGAATAGAGGAGAGGGAAAGGGAAGAAGAGGAATAGGAAAGAACATTTATTGAGCATCTACTATGTGCCAGGGACTGTGCAAAGCTCTTTACAAATATTTCATTTGAAACTTACAACCATGCTAAGTAGGTGCAATTGAAGAAACTGAGGAAGATAGAGATTAAGTGATTTGTTAGGGTCATATAGTTACTGTCTGGGACCAAATGTGAACTCAGGTCTTCCTGAATGAAGGGGTATATAAATTGTCAAAAACCTCTTGTTGCTTTTGGGTGAATACCCCTAGAAAAGTTGAAAAATCAGTGGCCAGGATCAGAAAGCAGGCCACCTGGCTTTCTGGAATACAAGAATGACCTTTTTCCTAGATTTATTCTCTTGACTGACCGGGCGATATACTGGGGAGTTCCTATGTACCCACAACTGACTTGGTTAACTACATTTAGGTTAAGGAATTCAAGGTTAGCAAACTTTTAATCCAGGTATATGATTAATTAGCAAAATTTACTAACCACAGTGTCCTTGTGGTTGATTGGGGGTGGGGTGCCAGACCATCTGTTAATTGACTGCTTCTAAAGTTCTCCTTGTTGCAGTTCCGTGGTGTGTTGTGGGGTCATTTCGAAAGAATTCACAGACTCAGACCATCTCCAACCTAAGCAAAACCATTTATTGAGAATTATGCCTCTCAGGAAGTGGGCTGAGCTCCAAGAAAGAGTCAGCAATTTCAGTAAGCAAGGCAAGCAATTTTATGCAGTATATGATGCTGATTATACAACAGAAAATATGAATATTAAAAAGGCAGGAGGAGTTTGTTAAGGGATTAGGTAATAGGGTAGGGAACCCAGCCTCGGTGGAACTATGCATGCAATTTCCCATAATGCATACAGAAAAACCCACTGAAGGGGGCATGTATGTATAATGCTATCATAATAAGCCTCTACATCATAAGTTCACCTAAAGGACAGCTTTTGCTATTACTGCACAGGCACCTACCTAGGGAAAGTCACTTCTACTATTTTGGGGTCCACAACCTGCTTGGGCATCCTGGTGGTGCTGCTTTCTGATTGGTTGGCTACTGTAGTCCTATCTGAGATTAGATAGATGTGGTTGTGATTGAGTGTATGCACACACCTGTTATTTCTGTGAGGCCCATATAAGTTAGAATATTGGTTCTGGGGGCAGTGGCTAGCTACAGGCAGTGACTAGGATTCCATCACAGACACACCTGCTGTTCAGTGAGGCCCATAAGGAAGTTGGAATATTGGGACTGGGGGCAGCTTTATTAGGATTCCATCACTCCTCCCACTCAGTCCCTAAGACTCTGCCCAGAAATTATCATCACAGATACGGGCAGATATCCAGATCCAGGCTCTCAGTCATGGTACACTTAAGCCATCTAAGAGTCAGGCAAATGTTCTGGCCTGTCAAGATCTTTTTGAATCCTAACTCTTATATACAAGATACTAGCTATCCTTCCCAGTTTTATGTCATCTGCAAAGATGATGGGCATGCCATGTGCATGCTTATCTTAAATTCAATAAGTGATGTTAAATGATAAAGACCAAGTGAAGATCCTTGGGGTACTCCACTGGAGACCTCCTACTATGTTGATATTGAAAATAGTAACAATTTACTCTTTTAAGTCCAGCCATCTGACCAGTTCTGAACCCATCTAAATGTATTATTTTCAAGTCAATAACTCTTCATCTTCACCACAAGAATAAGTTCATTTTTTCTTCACTTTCTCAAGGTAACATTTTCTACTCTCCAAGGTCCTGACAAGGAGTTAAGTCTCCCTCCCTCCACTTCAAATCCCTGTTTTTCCCCATAGAAGCTTTGCTGATTTCCTTTAGGATCACTTCATTCTAACCTACAAACAAAAGTGGTTTTCCTTAAGTCTCTTCACTTTCCCTCCAAGAGGGAGATCAGCATACACCTGGAATAACCACTTGGTTGTGGCAAAAATACATAAACTATACACACATTTCAAAATACTGAGCATTCCCACTAATCTTCATTAAGATTAGGGTTTTCAGACTAATTTTTAGCTATTTATGGGTATTTATACCTGAACCCTAAGATCAAAGTAAAACTTTTACAGTTAATAATAATTTCTCAATAGCTTGACTGCACTCAACTTCCTTTCATTAGTCTTACCAACTTTAGCCACATCCACTTTCTTTTCAATCTCATACCAACTTACTTTACCAATTTGTGTTATTTACAGATCCTTTCAAATTGCCTTTTCCACAAATTGTTCCAATTACCTTTTCTAACCTGTTATGTCAATAACATTCTCCTTCGTGGGTCTTCTACTGCTTAATGCTCCTTGATCCCTTTATGGCCTTTTTTTTTCTTGATCTGGTCCTCAATCCAAAGAAGAATCTGGATCTAAAGATTGTTCTCCTTCAAATTTTCCTCAATTTCTCCCAAATTACTCATCCCCCAATTCAACCTCTGAACTACTTCACTAGGCCGAACAGCTCCAAATCATTTTCTTCTTATTGGCCAAGTCTTTGGCTCTCTTCTCCTCCCATGACCGTTCACTGAAACCAAAAGTACTATGAACCAATGCCCTTAAAATCACCTCTCAAGCCGCATGTAAGTATGTTTTTCCTATGGTCATGTGCTTCTGCTATAAGACACTATTGTTGATGGGTTTGGGGAGAGGGGAATTCCCTTCTCCCATGTGCTGCACAATCTGGAAGAGGAACAAGTGGAAATAGGAGGAGTTAAGTACTTAAGAGCTGAGAGCCTCCTCAAAAGTTCAGATCTTCCTCCAGAGCTGACTCAGTAAAACAAGACACACTTAGAAAAATGAAAGCTGATTTTTATTTTATCATCAACAGCCATTCTTTAAACATGAACATGCATACGTATTTTTTCTACGCACACATCACAGTTTTAACGTTAGTTAATAAAGGTTAAACACACAACATACATCCTTACAAAAAAAAAAAGAGTCAAAATGCAAATGTAAAACTTTAAACAAACCAGTTTTACTAATTAAAAAAAAAAACCTTTGTGTTGGGTACCATTTTGTACAACACAGTTTTAATTTAAACATCCTCATCTTGGTTGCACATGAAAAAAGCGGCAATAGAAAAATGAAGTCATTGAGGGTTTTTAAATAGCAGAAATAGGCAGTTTTGCCATGCAGAAGAAGCAATATTAAATATTAGTTTTCCCAAAAAAATTCACGTTTAAAAATATTTAGTTCAAGTCACAGAATTTTTCTCAGTAGAGATCCAAATGCAATGCATAATTAGCTGCCTTAAATGGCCATGTTGAAAGGAAAACATCCCTTCAAAGTTTATAACTTTATTCATTTTGGCACAGAAAAGAAGTCTTAAAAACAAGAACATGATTTAAAAAGGGGGAAGAGGAAAAAAAGAAAGAAAAAGCAAGAATGAATGAGAGTAATTGCAATCACTAAAAAACTGTGCATCTCAGTCATTGCAGAATACTGTTATCTTTCTACAGCAGGTGCTAATTCCAGGAAACTGTTATTGCAGCATAGATTTAATTTGCTTGGAGGTAGTCTCATCATTCAAATGTTTTGTTGTGTACCTAAAAAACATAAGTTCATCAATTTTAGAAAAGAATGATTATTTATGTTTGTTTCCAAATGTATTATACAGAGAGGACATAAGCACATCTCCTGCATTAACTCTACATTTACTAAAGACCTTAACAGGAAATTTATTGAGTTGCATCTAACTCACTGAAATAAATCTTTCTTGATATTAATAAAATGAAAATAAGAATAGATAATATATTTGTCTTCAAGTCATCAGTCTACTGAACTCATCAGTCTCCTTCCTAATTAAAGCCTAGAGGTAAAAAATTACATAATGCCTTTTCACCCAAAAGGAAATTAGTTTAATGTTGTTTTTTATTGTACCTGTGTATGGTGTTCCAGGTAAAAAACATCCTCTAACAATGAAAATCAGCTAGTGCTAAAGAGTGACCAAATGTACTGAGAAATTAAATGCCTTGCCAAGGGGTAACCCAGATCTTCCTGACTCCAAGGCTAGTTCTCTATCCACTTATAAGTTACAAGCAAATTACTCCTCTATTGTCGCTAACTTTTCTCTCTCTCACCTCAAAAATACCCTACAAATTGTTTAAATTCTATCAGTATCAGAAATGTTTCCATGTATGAATGTTCTTTGTTCTAAACCAATCTAACAAATGAAAATTCAGGAATAACAAACAGCTACTATAACAGTAATTATCACACAATGCTTGCTTTTTTAAAGAATTTAAAATATGATTTTCTTTTCACACATTTGGTTTAGACACATTTTTAGAAAAAGGTCTACTACAGAAAGCAGAATATATCTGTTTACCTTGCTATCCTTTTGGGTATATACTGAAGTCCTTTTAGGCTACCTCTACATTATTTTAATTAAAAAAAAAAATCAAGCATGTGAAGTGGAGAAGTAATAAACTATACTTAAGTGTATGTATATATACTATTGCAATCTGACCTACAATTTAAATCGGTATAATTAATCAAGGTAAATCCTTGATCATAGTCTCTAAACACTGCAAAAATGAGCACATACAGCTAACAAGATAGTTTTTCAGCCACAAAATTAAATAGAAAAAAATTTCAAAAAATTTTTTGAGTTTATGGTTTAAAAATTTCTATAATTATATTTCAGAATTAGTCAAATAATGTGGCTAGTGAATCTTTAAAGGCAGAACATGTAACTTATATGAATACACTCTGATATACACAGTTTTCTGTGAATACTCTTCTAGTTATGACATATGTTCCTTTCAAGTGTGATTTGTGGCCATTAACTTCCATCAAGACTTTAGAGGCATCAGAGATTTAGGTAAGGGACACATTCAGAGATGAATATATCTACGTAACAAGACAAGACCAATATCATTTGAAGGTAGAACATCTATTATGTTTTATTAAAGAAAATATAGTCACCTTTAATTTTAAACTCAACAGAGAAAGGTAGCAACATCATCTAGCACTGAACCTCAACACCCAATTCCACTCTTCCTCCCAAATGATCTTAGACAAGTGGTTCATTCAGTTATTCCATCTGGATAATATACCTATAATTTGTTGCCTTTTCTTAACTGAATGTTTTGAATCTGAAATATTATAGGTGACAGGTACTATAGAAAGACAGTGACAAATGAACATATCAGTAGGCAAATCTATTCTAGCCAGGCTTTTATTTATGCTTCTACTTTTCATGTAAATTCTAATTTCCTTTCTTTGGTTGTTTAGCCCTGAGGAAAAAAAAAATAAGGTAAATACAGACGAGTAAGTTATTCTTTGCAGTGAAATGTAGCGCTTTAATGGCATAACTAATTTACCTTAAAGACACAGTGAACTGACATATTTTTTTTTTAAATTGGGACCCTAGTGTACTAAATAACTTGAAAAACTCTCTATAGTGCCTAAATAGCACCCAGATATAGACAGCCCTCTAGAAAAAGAAACATAATAACAAAAGTCACTAATAAAATCTGTATTATTTTTCTATTGACTTCCCAATACATAATTGGAGATACAGTTCTCTAAGAACTGCACTCCAAGTGATAAAGTGAATCAGAAAGTAGTAGGAATAGCTAATACATTTTCAAGTATCTTTTTCAAATGCCTCCTACGCCTCAGATATTTTGATTTTACTTCCTAAATGGTCAATGACATTTGCTGGGAATTTCTGACAGTCCAAAATAGCAAATAGAACAGGACAGTAGAAGAACAGCAAAGACCAGGAAGATAAAGACAGAAATCTATGAAAATATATTAATAGGGGAAAATCCACTCATCATTCCATAAATTAGGATAAAACCTATCTAGACTAGTTTATAAATCATAAATGGCACCCAAAACATCATGATGTTACAGTAAATAGTTTAAAATTATGATCAATTTTGTATATGATGTAAATTGGTTTCTTTAATAAATCTTAAAATTTGAATTCAAAGTATTCAATATTCAAATCAAACTAATCTACTTTATCTAAGTAGTCCCTACTTTTTGCTACTTTACACTCTTAATATGCCTACTCAATGACACCCTCCTTTCCATTTTCTTAACTCACTTTTTCCTAGCTAAATATTCTTAGGCAGCATTTCATTTTACCAATGCAGATTGCCATCTTGTGGTGAAAAGGTGGTTTCTATGAGTTTTCTCCACAAAACTTTGAGTGAATTGGCTTTATGATGCATTTAAGGTTGAAACCACGTATAACCTCATACTGGAAGATTTTTTGGTGTTAACCAACTAAAATAAATTTTAAAATAAATCAGTTCTCCCTTCCCCCCATGGAATTAGCTAGGCCTCGAATCAGAAGACCCAAGTTCAAATCCGGCCTATAACACTTACTAGCTATGTAACCCTGAGTAAGTCATTAACCTCTGTTCATCTCAGTTTCCTCAACTTTAAAATAGGGACAATAATAACAGCAATTACTTCATCAGTTTGTTGTGAGGACCAAACGAGATATTATTTGTAACAGTTATCACAGTGCCCAGTACATAGTAGGTGCTATAAAAAATGCTTATTCCCATGGAGCAGCTAGGTGGAGCAGTGGATAAAGCACTGGCCCTAGATTAAGGAGGACCTGAGTTCAAATCAGACCTCAGGCATTGGATATTTACTAGTTTTGTGACCCTGGGTAAGTCACTTAACCCTGATTGCCTTGCCCAAACCCCACCCCCCAAAAATAAAAAAAAAGTTAGAGGCCCCTTCTAACTCTTAATATCATAAATATGTTTGAAATGTTTTAAAATATTCCATCATTTTAAGAAATCAGTTATTCCATCCTGGGAAAATGCATCTAATTCAATTACATCAGTTTAAGTCTAGAAGAACATTATCATAAGGGAAATCATTTACTTCCCCTTAACTGCAAGGGACACAAAAAATAAAGCCAAATCTTCCCCAAAAAGAAAGTAGCAACTACAATCCAAAAATCTGCCCAAAGCACTCAATGACTGGTTGAATTTAGTTTAGAGTATGCATATGGTGAATATTAAAACAAAGCGAGTGCAATTGCCAAACATACATAACTCAGTACGGAAAAAATCCCTGTGAATCCAAGTTACTATTATTATTATTGTAGAAATTTTAAAATTTTCATTATTTCCTAACCTGAATACTGAAATTCCAATTTTAGTCACTCTAGTGACATCTGCTATGTTACCAAACTGAAAAGAGAAATACCTGAGAGCATTTAGAAGGCCTTCTACACTATTGGGAGGCTGGTCCTTTAGGACTTTGATACAACCTTTCATCTAGGAAGGAAAAAAGATGGTTATTTTAAATTGGTATTTTTTTTTTACACATAAGAATTTTCAAATTATCACTATGTAATCAGAAAAAACTAGCATCACAAATACAAAACAAAATAACATTAAGACATGACTGTTTTTAACATTGAAAACAATTTTCCAGGTGGCTTTGACAAGAAAAATCTAACGAGCTTCGCAATTCTCTTTTTGAGTCAACAAAAGTAGGATCCTCAAAGAAAAGGAAGGACAACTCCCTGCCTTCAAGGTATTTACAAACTAGGTGGGGACAGTACATACATCTGAAAGAAAGTAGTCCAAGAAAACTTACAAAACAAATACAATATGAAGCTTCCCTTCTACCTCTGTAAGGCAGGTTAGTGCAAACATTACCATCCCTGCTCTACATACGAGAAATTATAAGACTTGGTCAAGGCTGGCAAGTACAAGAACAGTGCTCAGGTCTCTTCCACGATATCAAGCTGCCTAACAGTAAAAGGCCCATATTTTTAGAATGCAAACTGAGTACATAAACATTAACAAATTTATATGTAGTCAGTAAAACTGATGTGGCGAAAATGTGAAAAAAATCAGTACATGGTGAATAAATTTTTACCACAGACATCTCAGTTAAATTTTTCATTCTTAGGTACCTTTATATTTTGCAATGACCCCAAAATATTAAGGATTGTACCTGACAGAATTGTTTCCTATAGTTATTTAGCTAAGGGGTTTTTTTGAGGTTTTTTGTTTGTTTGTTTTTGTTTTTGTTTTTACCAAATAGCTAGAATGGTCACTGTGAATACATTTCCCTACCAGGGCAGCATTTTAAATGAAACACACCATAATTTCATGTCCTAAAATGAAATCACTCTGTCACTGGACAAAATGAAAGAATGAAGGACTGGTTACAAGCCATGCAACAAAATATCATATTTTGAATTCTGTTAAAGTCATCAAATATACAACTCTAAGAAACAAAATACCAAAATCTCAAGTCTACAATTTTAAAAGAAGTAGCAAAATTCTCAGCAGCACTTATCCTTGAATATTAAGAATATCATGTAACCAGGAGAATATTACTTGATGTTAAAAATGAAATATAACTTACATCAATTTTTGATGTTTTGGCAAATGCTCCCACTGGATGTACATGGTCATAGAGTATGATGACACCCACCATTACTCTCAGACAGAATGATACTGTCTCTTCATTTGTAAACCTGCTTCTATACTCCCTAGGATAGCAGAAGAGATACAAGAGGATGAAGCACAAGACAAATAAAGATTCACACCTTTAAAGTAGAGGTAAATGCCTTACCTAGTCTTTATATGGCCTTACCTACCCAATCTGAAAGGTTTTGATGACTACCAAAATAGAAGGGAAGTAGAGTCATCATTACTGTCCCAGACATACTGTTTAGAACTTTCACAATCAGCACCTCACCTTCTAGCACCCCACCAAGCTAGACAGTAAGCTCTGACCTTAGGCAAACTGGTGAATAGTCTGCCAAGCTTAATAAAATGGCATCTCAATTATGTCTATCAATTAACAGTAAATCTTAATGAAATGTACCAATTAACATCACACAAATATAGGACTTGAATTTCCATTTTAATTCATTCTAGTCCTCTCCTCTCTCCACCATTATGAATATTTCCTGAAAGATTTTTTTCAGCAAGGAATAAGAAAAAGAAGAACAAACTTCTTGACATGTGACCCAAGCAGGTTCTTGAAACACCAAAAAATGCAGTCATGGTCTTAAAAATGAGGAGACAGCAGGAGGAGAGTTTAGTCTTCCCACCAAGGAATAAAGACTGAAAGAATGAGAAGCAAAAAGTCCCTTTGATAATAAGGGGAGCCATAACATAGTGAAAGGGAAGAAAGCATAAGAATCATGTTAGAAAATTTCTTTTAAATATTTAAATTGATCAATCCACAGCAGAACCTGCAAACTTAACCATATATTATTTTTAGTTACAAAGAAATTTTCTGAAACTACAAATTCTTGTATTTTAATTAACATTTTTTAACATGAGATGATTATGGTTAAATTCTTTCTCCCAAAGATATACATGCCCTCTGCAGCTTATGAAATATGGATCATCATGGTATTCTTATTATAGTGGAGGGAGGAGGGGAAGACTCGCAGCTAGTCACTAGCCAATACTTACGGTGTTTCAAGCATGACTCTGCATACACTAGCCATGGTGCTTAAACAATCTGTGGTATTTTCTATTGGTAAATTTTTATTCTGCAAAATAGTTTGGAAAATGAAGAAAAAGTCATAAGTAAAAGATAATTCTACAAACTCTAAACTCTAAAAATATATTTAAAGAGATCTGAAAATACAAACCAAAATCAAAACAAAACTCTTAGAAGTTTAAAATTTTTTTAAGTTGATTCAATACTCAACAACTATGTACCAAGTGATACTATGTTCAAGACACTGTGCTGAGTACTGGGGAAGAAACATAGATAAAAGATACAGGGTCTCTAATTTCAAGGAATTTATGAACTCTAACAGAAAAGGAATAATAAAAGAAAAACAAAAAACTACCAATCCAATTCAATAAACATTTATTAAGTGCCTACTATGTAAAAAACCCTGTGCAAAGCACTGGAGGAAACATAAACTTGAAATAAGACACAATTACAGCTTTCATGCAAGATGTAGTGGGATAAAATACATACACAAATAATTATAATACAAAATAAAACATTGTAACTGCCTGAGACAAAGTGCTCTATGAAATCTATTCAGTGGGGAAAGCATGTTATTAAATTTTTTTGGTTGTTTTTCTTTTTTCTTTTAGTTTTTCTTTTTTTTTTTTTTTTGGAGGAAAGGGTCAGGCAGCGTTTCCTGGAGGTCACATTTAATTGAGCTTCAGAAAATGAATCAGCAATTAAATTACCAAAAGGATATTCTATGGAATTAGAAAAATAATAGCACAATAAGGAGGAAATTAAGTTCAAGAATATCAAGGGATATGACTCCCAAAAAAAATAAAGGGCAGGAAAGAGAAAAGAAGAGTACCTTGGTTCAAAATAGCAGTAATTATCAAAGCTATCTAGTATTAGATAGTTTTAGATTAGATGAGAATAAATTTAAAAAGTGAGACTTTTGAGACAAAGGTACATAGCAGTCTATTGCATGAAAAACACAAGAATACAACCTACCGGTAGAGAGGCAAATTGTCTGACTATCCCAGAAAAAAAAATTATGCAAGTGAAATTATTAAATTGTTCATATTCTTTCATTCAGACATTACACTATTGGAACTACAGCTCAAGGCAGTACACAGCAAGAAAGATCCATATGTACAAAAACATTCATATCAATGTTTGTGGTGATTTAAAAGCTGAAAATAAAACTTACATTCTAAACTATTAAATGGCTGACCAAATTATGGCATATGAATGCAATGCAATATTCAGTCATATAGAATTACAAAAGAATTCAGAAAAAAAGAAATAAGGAAAGATATATATTCAAATTGAAGAAAGCAGAATCATAAATAATGACTATAATAACAAAGTCAACATTGAAAAGCAATAAAACTTGGATCAAATATACAATCTAGGGTTGGCACCATACCCAAGTTAAGGAAAAATTCCTCCTTGTAATTAAAAATTATTTTTTGGAATATATATTGGGGGGGTAATTGATAAGTACCTGTTGTGTCAAAACAACATTTATCAATAGTTTCTTTTAAAGGACAGGTAGGGATTCAACATGCAAAGTTGAGGAAAGACATTCCAGGTAGAAACATAGAAACAGGAAAGGGTCACACATGTTCAGAGGACAATGAATAGTTCAATTTGGTACTCTAGAGTGTAGACATATGGAATCACCTAATCTCTAAGGGGGAAGGGACTTCAGAAGTAACCTAGTTCAACCTGAATTTGAGAAGGCCAAATGGCACAGTGATATGAATGCAGAGTAATGAACCTGGGATCTTCGTGCCCAAGTTCAAATCTTGGCTCTGCCAATTACTACTTGTATGACCTTGGGTAAATTATTTAACTTCTCTGGGAGTCAGTTTCTTTAACTGTAAAACGAAGTACAATAGTGGGAGAGACTAAAAAGGGGGGAAAGGGGGTTGGACTAGATTTCTTCCAAGATCCCTGTCAGCTCTAGTATCTAGGAGCTTGATCCTCTACAGCAGTGGGATCAAACTCAAACAGAAAACAGGGATCATTGCCCTATACATAAGGATCCCTGTGGGATATACACTGAATCATATACTATCTTTATATTATCTGTCTATCTATAATATTTTATTGTATTTTATTTATTTTGTCAGATATTTCCCAATTACATTTCCATCTGGTTGGGGTCGCACTCAGGAGTGCAGTAGGCAGTATGGCTGGCCCACCATGTGTCTGACACCTCTGCTTTACAAAGTAAGTGGTCAGCCAGATTCTATGTGAAGACCTCCAGCAATGAGGAATCCTGGGGAAGCACTCTTCTTTTTTTGGGGCAAGTCAAATTATTAGGAAGTATTTCCTTGTATATCAAAGTCAAAATCTGCCTTTGTACAACTTTTACCATTAGACCTCTGGCAACATTTTGTTTTACACCTCACCAATGCATCTGAAGAGATGAAGGGGAGAGAGAATTGCAGACATATAGAACTCTTTGACAGACTGTAAGCTCTTTGAGGGCAGAGACTATTTAATTTGTCTTTCTATCCTCAGCACCTACCACAGTGAGCACTTAATACATTTGTATTGATTATTTAATCATTGTGACACTGAGACAAGAAGGTACCGGATTTGGCTCAAAGATGCTGGATAACTTTCTACTGTTTCTTAGGAAAAGGGTCAGCAATGAACTTTAAACCACAAGGCATCCTAAACATATGAAAAGTAAACTAACTGAACAGATAATAGGTTGATTGCATTTTAGTGCTGAAGAGCTATAGTGTAGAGAGACTGAATCTGGGGGAGAATCTCAGTATCACCAGCTCACCAAGAAAATGAATGGGAGACAAGGCTGGTAAGGCAGGGCAATGACTAACAGACAAGAGTCAAACTTTATATGGTAAGAATTAGGAAGCCACTAAAGGGTGACATGACTAGATACAGCTATAAGGAAGATATAGTGGGTATAGAGTAAAGGCAAATAGATTTGTTAGAGCAGTCAATCAGTCGGTGGTTTCCTGTACCAGATGGGATTTTAGTCGGGACTTAAAGGAAGCCAGGGAAGTCAGGGCACAACTAAAAGTGTAGGTGAATAGTATTGTACTAAATTGGAGGTAATAGAAAGAGAAAGGGATTGAATCTGAGAGCTGAATAGGAACTCAAAAATTATCTAACACAACCAGCACTTTATTTCATGTATGAGAAATGTGAGGACCAGAGAGGTGGAATAACTTGTACAAATACACATGGAATGTCTAGGAATCAGGTCTCTTGCATCCCAGAACAACACTTTTCCACTACACCAGGAAAAAAATAACCAAATACAAATTTCGGGGTTGGGGGTTGTGAATAACTACTTCACACAACACACTTACCTCTGATACAAATTTTGTCGTGGCATCACTTAAGGTTTTCAACATTGGGGTTGCCTCAGCATAAAATAAAGACATACGGTTTGCCAATTCATTATTTACTTCGTTTTCTCCTTCTGCCTGTTTGAAGAAGAAAATTATTTGATTCAACTTGTAAACTGAAAAGGAAAGAACCTTGGAACCTATCTAGCCTTAACTGAACAAGACAACCACAACTCTACAACTTTTGCTTGGAAATATCTAGTGAGGGGGACTGACTAAGGTGGCTCATATGGCAAGGATTCAAAATCCTTTACACTTTATCCTCTTGGTTGCACTCCTATGGAAAGCCTTTAACTTACTAATGTGCTTCCTAAAATGTGGCTCCCAGAACTGAACATAGTACTCTTGACATGGTCTAACTTAATGAAACTCTCACTTCTCCAAGTTAAGAACACCAAGCCTTAATGCAACCTAAAATTGTATTAACTTTCCTGCCTGACACATCACACTACTGATTCATAATGATCTTTAAGTCCACTAAAACCCCATATCTTTTTCAGATGAATTCCTGATTCTAGCCATGTTTCCCTGGAAGCTCACTCCACCTCTGGACTATTCTACTCACTTGCTACATGGTCCACTCATTTCCACAGGACTTTCTGTATTACCCATCCTCCTTCCTAGCTCCTTATTATGTGTTTTCCCCCCAATGTAATAGTAAGTTCCTTGAGGGCAGAAATTGTCATTCTCTACACTTTTATTTGTATTCCCAGTGCTTAGCACATTTCTGGTACATAGTAAACGTGAATAAACTGCTGAAATACTGAAAAAATTTTGTTGATAAAACTCTCTTATTTTGTATCGATGTAAAACTTTATACATTTATTTCTCTTAAATTTAATCTTCTTACATTTGGCCCAATGTTCTCTAACCTGTAAGGATTATTTCTGATCCTGACTCTGCAATCAAATATGTTACCAGCTTTGTGACATCTGAACTTTGTTCAAACGAACGATAAAAGTATTAAATAGCATAGGGTCAACCAAGCACTGAAACACAGAACACATCCCTCAAGAACCCATTCCAAGTTGACAACTTAATGACTGCTTTTTGAATGAGTGAGTTCCAAAACTGTCTAGCCCACACCAATCTATGTTTTTTTAACAATCATATGAAAAAACAAATGCTTGTTCAATAGCCTTCACTGTCTCATTTTGTGACTTCATCAGACCCCATGCCAACCACCATTATCTCTATGCTGATGACTGCCAGATCTAAACATCCAACTTAGCATTTCTCCTGAGCTCAATTCCATATCACCAACTACTTCTTTGACATTACCAATTGGATGTTCTATGGACATCTCAAACGCAACAAATCCAAAACAGAATTCATTTTTTTTTCCCTCAAATATACTGCTCTTCCAAACTCTCCTATTTCTAGCACAGATACTATACTATCCTTTCAGTCTCCTAGGTTCATAACCTCAGCACTACTGATTGCTTACTCTCCCCTTACCCAACATATCCATTTAGTTACTAGATCATGTTTCCTCTAGTCTCCATGACAACACTTGCATAAGACCGCATCTCTCCACTTACATGGTCACCACCCTGGTTCCGGCTCCCAAAATTCCTTTCTAGACTATCAGCCGTCCTAATTGGTCTCCTGCCTCAAATCTCTCCCCACTCTAATCCATAATCCATATAGTTGCCAATGTGATTTTACCAAAACACAGGTCTAACACTGTAACTTTCCTAATTTCAAATTTCTATGTCTCCGTATTGCTTTTAGGATCAACTATAAGGCCCTCTTTTTTAGCTTTATAAGCCCTTTGCAACCTGGCCCTAACTTACCTTTTGTTAACAGGCAATCACATAACAAAACTTGTGAAAAACAAGTTTATTACAAGAGAAATGAACATGCATGCATCAAAATTCATAGAGAAGTTGGTATATTTATGACAGCAGGACAAAGGAAGGAGGAGATACCAGGAAGGGGCACGGCATGGTAGGGGAAGTTGGGAAAAAAAATCCTGCCAAAGGAGAGGAGGAAAGCAATAGCAAAAGCAGCATTCTTTTCCCTTTGGGAACTGCTAGACTATGAAGATAGAATAGTCTGCATATCTACAGGGTTCCAGCTGCACAAGCTAATTTCTCAGCCTTGCACAGACTAGCTAGCACCTGTCTTGACTCCCAAGGACACACAGGGAATCAAGTTTGGGATGCAAACAACAAGTTATGTTAGCTGGGGGTGGGGGCAGGGGGTGGAGGGAAGGTATTGGTCCTTTACACACTCAGGGCCTCTTGCATGCTTTGGAAAATATGGCAACTCAAAAAGGCAATTTCAAGGCACCCCTTAACAGTCCTTAACACTTTCCAGCCTTATTTTAGACTGTTTTCCTTCCTGTGACTCTAGTCTAGCCGAACTGGTCTTCTTGCAAATTACTCATTTCCACCTAGGTGCCACTGCACTGTCTGTCCTCCATGCTTGGAATGCCCTCTTCACTTTTACCTTTTACAATCATTTGGTTCCTTCAGGACCTAGTTCCAAGCACCACATTCTACATGAAACCTTCTTGATCTCCCCAACTCACAGGGCCTTCTCCTTCAAAATTAACTTGTATTTATTTTGTACATTTTCTAAATGTACTCATTTACGTGTATTTTGTCTCTTCTGATAGAAAGTAAGCATCTTCTGGGCAGGGACTGTTTCATGTTTGCTTTTATATCTTTAGCACCTAGCAGAGTTCCTAGAACATATTAGGTACTGCTGACTGATTATAAATTTATACTGAACCTTCGCTGCTGCTCCGGAATCCTTTATTTCTCACTTTATTTCTCCCTTTCACACTGCCTACAGAATAAATCTCTCTGGTTCTCTGTCTCTCTCACTCCCAAGCCCACATATATATGTGTATACACACATATACACACAGAGAGATACATTTACACATATACATGTCATGCATCCCTCCCCGGTACTTCAGTAAAACATCACATTAACAGGAAAAACTGTCACATGTTTATTTTTGCATCCAGACTAGTTCTTTAATGGTGATTGTCCTTTTTCTCAAACAGGATCAAAATGACATCACAATGTTAGAGTCAAGTTGCAGTGTATCCTTACTCTTCTAGTTCTACAAAATGGTGTTATTTAGTTCCTATAGGTGGGGAAGATTGTACACAGGGAACTAAAATGAAAACCTGGTGGCTGGCCAGAGAGAAAGTATATGCCATGTCATTTTCTAAATTAGAGACAATGAAGGTGAACTGAAAGCCTCTAGTCTGCAAAGTCTTATTCTTCTTTAACACCATGGGTATTGTTCCTCTTCCCATGTTAGTCTGTCTCAGTAAGTTCTAACATAGAAATGTTGTTATTGATTTCTCTCTACATGATTCATAAGAATTTTTAGCAAATAAAATGAAATAGTAGACAGTTTCTCAGAACGTAAGTGACAAAACTGTATTATTCTTATTACTGTAGTATTAACAAAATTTCAAATTGTGGGAGCCAAGAGGAATAGCAGATGGACATTAGGATCCTAGACACAACATACCATATGTTTAGTGTGTCCTTCCTATCATCACAGCTGTTGCTGCTCATAACTACTATCACTATTAAAAGTCTTATTTTAAAAAAAAAAAAGTCCCTCTGATGGTCTTTTCCAAGTAGGAACTTACTGGAACATTATTGATCCTCATACGACTCAGTGTTCTTCTGTAATAGCTGAAATCATTCTGTATAGCAGGATTTGTCATCTAGAATATAGAGTTACATTAATAAATATATGTGACAGTATTCATACAGCAAGTGTTAACCTAATGATTAAAGTTACTGAGTAACTTTACTGAGTAAAATGAGTAAAATTACTGGATAACCTGTGATGTTGTCTAGAAGCAATTTATCACATCTAAGTTCAACACCTCTCCTCCTCCAAAATCTTCATACACAAAATAATATAAATTTAGGCAATCTTCTAGTCAAAAATCCCTCTACTGTCCCATAATTTTACATGTATTACTGAGAACCTTTGTAAAACTGATTATCTTTTGATAGCAAAATACATAGGTACATAAGATCTCCCTCCCCTCCAAGTGAGTAAAATTTAGAAGGATTTGAATTTGCATTACAGTGATGTTCCAGTGACTTAGGACAGAGGTCAGCAAAGTGCCAGTCCAGTTATTCCAGTAACAGGGAAGAAATCTGACACAATGGCTAACAAAGCACTGGTTCTGGAGTCAACAGATCAAGTTTTGAACTCCACGTGTGCCACTTGCTCCCAGTGTGACCTTGGGCATATCATTTAACCTTTAACTAGTTTTCAAATATGGAAAACAAATGGGGTTTGTGCTACACAACTGATAATTACATGGTACTCTAAAGTTTGCAAAATGTTTTACCTACATTACCTCCTCTGAGCCTTCCTCCTTTCAAACTACAAGAAACCGTGTAAGGTAGGTACTACAGCCCATTTGATAGATAAATCTTAGCCCGAGACATTGTATCCATAATCTAGGATCTAGGATCACATAGCTAGTAAATATTGGGGGGTCAGGAGGTAGAGATTTGAACCCAGGGATTACTGAACCCAATTCTAGAGCTATTATCTACTTTATGAAACTGCCTATAAGTTATTTCACAGTTCTAAACCTATGATTCTAAGTTCATATTCAAATTACTTGATACAACAGGAAATATGTCCTAATTATTTCCCCTAAATCTAGTCTGTCACCTCTCCAATCCACGCTCCAAATAATGCCAAATTGGTATTAATAAAGCATATATATCTGATCATGTCACTTTCTTGCTCTGGAAGCTACAATGGCTCCCAAATGCCTTTGTAATACAATACAATTTCCTCTGTCCTTCAAAGAACTTTACAATCTCGCTCCAGTCTACTGATTCAGATTTATTAAATAATATCTCTCTTCATGTACTCTTGTTTTCCAACCAAGATAGTTCACTTGCTGTCCCTCACAAATGACACTCCATCTCTCATCTCCGTGCCTTTCCCTCATTACTGGAATGCATTCTCTCCTCACCCAACTCTCAGAATCCTTAACTTCTTTCAAGTGTCATCTCCTACATGAGGCTTATTCTGAATCCTTAAGTTGCTAATCTTTCTCTCCCCAGGCCCCCTACCCCAATTTACTTCGCGTATGCATGTGTGCATGGTATTTACTGGTTTATGATATATCCCATCAACAGAATATAAGCTTTTTAAAAGCAGGAGCCATTTTGTTTTTTGTTTCTCTAACACCTAGTACAGTACTAGGCACATGGCAAGTACTTAACAAATGCTTGCAAGACAAAGTTTGCAATATCACAAGGAATTTATGTTAGGCAGTGAGGTGTTATGGATAAACGACCAGCCTTGAGTCAGAAAATCTGGGTTCTAATCTGTCCTCTGAAAATACTGGCTATGTGACCCCATTCAGGTAAATTAACTTCTCAGTGGCTAGACAACATTCTAAGACAAGTTGCCAAATAGTTGTTGAGGTGCATTGGTAGAAGGAGTTTCCTCACAGGAAGCAAATGGGGTTTGTGCTACACAAATGATAATTACATGGTACTCTAAAGTCTGCAAAATGTTTTACCTATATGAAATCACTTAGGGATGAAAAAAATAGAAAAGCATACATATAGATACATGCATATATACACATATACACACCCATACATTCATATATTCAAGAGAAAATTCATGTCACCCCACTCTGCAAATGACAAAATATAATAAAGTTAAATAAAAAAACTGTGTGATTTAATTTTGGTCACACATTTTCTATCAGATATACCACTAAGATTTTACCAACCTTGTTTTTTATTTAGGTTCACTGAGTCTGTTTACTACAATTTCCTTTACATTCAAGTCCTAGATTCATGACAAAAATGGATAAAAATATTCCCTTAAAATGTAATTATTTGTGCAAGTTTACAGATTTTCCCTATTGATGTAATAACTATTAACTTAAAATTCACAAAAAGAAAAAATTATACCTTGAGTTCATCAAATCGGAGTGTGAAATGAAGAATCTCTGCAAACTGTTTAGCAAGAGCCTGCTCTCGCTCTAGGTGCTGTGTTGGAGAATATGGGGTACTTGTCAAGGCTCCCAGAAGACCTCTCAATGCTGCCTCTTAAGAAATTAAAAAAATGGAAAGTTCATTGCATTTCTTTGATATTTATCAACTAAAAATATAATCCACAATAGTGTTTTAATAATCCCCCAAGTTTTTAAATACATGTTAACAGTAAAGATAAAATAATAGTATAAAATTTTTCAAAATGAGAAGTATTAATCATATAATAAGAAATTATTGCTTTAAATCTAAAAAAATTCAATCAGAAATGGAACATTCCCACATTTCAAAAATAGAATGAGTTAATTTAACTTTTGAAATGCATTTAATAACTCAAAGAAAATATTTAACATGTTGACTATATGTTCAGATGTATATATGTTCACTATATAAAGTGAAGCTTACTTCAAAGTAATTCTTTTAAAAAAACCTAAAACATGGACTTTGTGTATTTATATCTCATGATGAAAATATTGAGAGATCTTCCTTATATGATTAGTATCTATGCAAATTGAAATAAACATGTATAAATTTTAGTTTAGATAGTAATTGATCTCATAACCTAAAGCATTTTAAGCTTTCCAAGATAAAGGCTACAAAAATATTTTCATGAGGAAGTTGGGCATATTGGTATGGAAAAATGTAAATAATAAACTTATTAGACAACAGAATGTTACCTTTTTCTTTTACTAACAAAAATTGTTTTCTTTCCACCATTTACTGTAAGGAAAAGATAGCTTTTCTTATTAACTATTTTTTTTTTCACTTCAGAAGTGGATTCACTCTGAAGTATTCCATAAATGAGGAGGTATGTTATAAATAAGTAAATTAACTTAAAGTGCTACACTTTTAGAATATCATGCTGATAAATATTACAGCTCTTTCCTCTATGAGGATAAGTAATAAGTATCAAAACACTGATTTCCCTTTACTACTACACTGGTACCTTATCTAAACAAAGACCTAGAAATCAATTAACTAGATCAGAGATAAAAAGAAAATAAAGAATTTATTGTTTTTTTAACCAGACCTGTGATTTTACTGGGGCAGGCCATTCTGCACAAGGAATGATACTAATATAAGTGGGCACTTTCTCTGCAATTTATAGTTTTAAAAAGTTGACTGAGTACTGAGAGGTTAAATGTTTGCTTAGGGTCACATGGCCAATATACATCAGAGGCAAGACTACAACACAGGTCTTTCTGCCTCCAAGGTTAACTCTCTACAAACTACACCTTGTTGCCTCACTAAAGAACTTACCACCATGACTAATTCAAATCATATGAACAAATGGCAACTGCAGAAATACAGAAGACAGAATGCTGTTATTCAATGACACCTACTTTGCAAAGTAATAAAATCTGGAATTTAGCTCATAGTGTACTGATTAATGTTTCCTATTAAGACCTACAAACCGTATTTCAAAATTTAACAGCCACGTATATCAGTCCTTGCCCACTGGCCAGGAGATCTAGAAATATTTCCTAGGTAGGGGACAGAGCTGGTAGACAACTTCAAAAGTCAATTAAAAGAATGCCCTACCCCTGCTAGAAATGTCCATTTCAAATATAGCTGCTTCCTAATCACTTTATTGATGAAGCTGAACATGCTGGGATTCCTGTTAAGAGCAACACCCAGCTCTGCAATTCTTAATTCCAAATAGAAACACGGATTCCCATAAAGCTTAGTTTCAATGATTGGCTTCGGATGCCAAGTGGAAGGCATCTGAAGACACACTTTGTATCTGAATGGCATCTAAATCAACTTTAAAGCACTATAGTATCAATAGGAGCTTGGAAATGTCTGAAGTTAGAACTTGATCATAGGGAGCAATCAAAGATTTAGTAAACGCAGATTTTAGGAATGAAAATACTAGAGATTACAGAAAATACCAGAGATGCGATGTGAATTAGATTCATATTTTAGAAGCAAATTATATAAAATGACAACACTTTAAAGCTCAGGAAAATATCATTTTACTATTCTTAGTTAATATAAACAAAAACATAATATTTACATCCATCTCCCATCCTCACTGTTATTCTATTTTTATGCAACATTTTAATAAACTGCTTTATAGTATAAAAGACAAGCAGTAATTCTCTAATCTACTGAATTGAAATAATTTTTAAAACAGTATTTCATATTCACTGTGTAATCCATTCATTATGGCTTCTATCATTTAAAATGTGCATGTGGAGTAAATGTTTTATCTTCCTATTCTCTCATTTATATAGTTATTTCTTCAAATTTATATCTCTTAAATTATCCAAGAAAATAAACGATCAACTGTCTCCCAATAGAAAAGGATTTCAAAGGAAATAACTCAAGGTGTCATGCTATGCATTCCATACCAGTTTACCTTTTCTGACCTTCATTAGACTACTATAATTTGATCTTGCCATAATGGAAGATGAAGTAGCAACATGTGAGAGAGGACTCAAAAAGAATTTTCTTCCCTTCCCCCACTAATCCCTGGGAGTTTCTTTGTATAATGTAGGGCAAGACAATAAATGTCTCATCATTAGAAACCCAATTTATGGCACAATCCATATGCCTGGACCAATCTCAAGAATGATTTTGACATAAAATTTAGACATTCTAGAGTCATACAAAGGCCAATTTCCATACACGGAAAAACTGAATTAATCTGGCAAAAAAAAAAGGGTGACATTATGCTATAAACCTGCCACAACAGAACCTCTTTAGCTTGCATACAATTAAGGTTAAGGCTTGTTAGAACTAAGAATAGTGCTCCTGTGCAAATCACACATTTCCATCAAAGTGTTTCAAGAAAACTAGTAATTAAGAAAGATGAGGCTGATGAAAAATTTGTATTTAAAATTCCTTAATATGAAAATTTAGCTGAAATTATCTACTTCAATTTTAAGAGCTCCATTTAACATCTTTAGTAATAACTATTTTCCTTATTAGGCTGCTTATATATTTACCTTATTTTCAACTTACCTAACCTCTGAGAAAATTCATAAAACTTCTTTAGTTTGCCTACTAGTGGAATAACTGCACCCCATGCCTTCTCTTGCAACTTCTCATCAGATGGATGCTGTATTGCCTTTAAAATTTAAAACAAAATAGATGAAAGTTAGATTTTTTAAAAAAATACAATTGTGCAGTCTTTCTTTTAATGGAACATGCTTTATAACATTACTCTTGGAGCAACTTAAAAAACCATATGTGTTCTTCACTCTTACTTCTCAATAGAAGTTTTTTTGTTTGTTGAGGTAGGCAATATGGCCCAAATTGTATAAGGGAAAAAATGCTTGTAGATATTTGCAAAACTTAACACTAAACTCCATCAGTACAGAATCCAATACAATTTCCTCACATCATATCACTTTCATTTTTAAAAATCTATCAATTACACTAAAAATTTCACTTGCTATTGCATTGCTACAAACAGGTTTGCAAAGTGACACATTTTCCTTAACATAGATTTCAACAACGTATCATGCGTGAGCACCTTTAACTTTATTTGTTTATCCACTTGCAATGCAACATATAAAGGTTCTAGGTTCTTCTAAATTGATCACAAAGTTCTTTAGACATGTAGGCAATTCTCCTTCCCCCTTATTATCTGCAAGTAGATTCGTTCAAAGTTTTACATACGACTTGCTAAGTATCATTTCAACAATTAAAAAAAAAAAAGCTAATGGTAGAACAATGTTTTTCCTCTGGAATGAGCAAATCTGTACTTAAGCTTATATGAGGCAAACAATCCTTCAGGTGTCATTCTTGGTTATGAGCAAAGTTTATTTTTACTTATCAAAAGGAAATAAGTATTTCTAGAAAAAGTTCATCTTGTTTTGTCAATTTAAATTTTCTTCATGCATATTTTTAAGAGGCAATTTCAACATATTAGGGCTCATGCTTGATGTTTTGTTTAGTTGTTTCTCAGTTGTATTCAATTCTTTGTGACCCCATTTAGGGTTTTCTTGGTAAAGATACTGGAGTGGTTTGCCATTTCCTTCTCCAGCTCATTTTTACAGATGAGGAAACTGAGACAAACAGGGTTAAGTGACTTGCCCTGGATCACACAGCTAGTAAGTGTTTAAGGCTGCAACTGAATTCAGGAAAAAGAATATTTCTATGTGTAGACCAGTACTCTAGCCACTAAACCATCTAGCTACCCAGAGCTCATACTAGATGCAGCTAAATAATTCATACAAAAAAATAAGCATAGCACTCTTTCCCCATCATCTCACACATTGCTGCTGAATGATTTTCCTTGTACACAGTAACTAACCACGCCATAATCCCTAGCCAATCAACCCCAGAGGCTCTCTACTGGCTCTAGGATAAAACGTTAAATTTCTCTACTTAGCTTTTAAAACGCTTCACAGCCTGACTCTGACCTATCTTTCGAATTCAATGAAGATCACTCTTCTACTCTACTCCAGTCAAATTGGCCTTCTCCGTCTCTATCCATTTCTTTGCAATGGATAAACCCCAGTGCAGGGAATGCACTGCCTCTGCACCTCTGTCTCATAAAATTTTTCTCTTTCTTCAAGATGCAACTCAAGCACTATCTTCTACATGAAATCTTTCCTCATCTCCATAAGTATTCATACCTTATATCCCAAGCTACTTTATTTTTAACTACCTTCTATTAATTTGCATTTTCACTTTATACTTATTCTGTATATACTTAATAAGTACTTGTACTCTCCGATTAGAATTTAAGCTTTCAAGTAGTGATTATTTCATTTACTGCTTTTATATCCTTAGAGCCTAGCAGAGGTACCTGGCATATAGCAGGCACTTAATCTTTGTTAATTGATCAATAAGAGTACTTGTGAACATAAAATGGATCATATCTTCTGGATTTAGACTTTTTTCTTTGTGATTCTGCTACTTAAACTGTGTATATTATCTCTGCTTGTCCTAATTCAGCCACACCAGTAGATTTTCTTTTCAATCCCGATTAATTCCACTTTTAAAAGGTAACAAAAAAGGCAATTATTTAAATTCAATTGTTGACAATTTCAAATCACTATCTATAATAGTTCCTGAGTTTTTTCAATGCTTTAAAAGTTGCAAGTTTCTTGGATTTATATTTAACAAGATGATTCCACTGAAGTATATAATAGAATTTTATGGCACTTTTCACTACTACATAAAAACTGTTATGTAAAGAGCTTTCACACTACATGTTCAAATGCAGCAAACAGTGTGACACTAAGAGTCATTTGCATATCAAGTTTACATAATTAATTAACAGTGGTAGACTATGCCCACATTGAAATCTAACAAAAGCCAATAATCTGATCTCATCAAGGTACTGTATTGAATAATCACTATACAGCATTCATTGTCAACCATAGTAAATTCAGGGTGACAGTAGTGCTCTTATCAACTGATTTGTACTTTGTTTTTATTGAAAATGTTGGTGTATTTATGCAGGACCTGTACTTGAAAATATCCAATAATGCTGGTTGCTGCTTAGAATCGCTCAATTTGGAAAACTTGGCCTGAAATAATCCAAGCTCTGCCACATAAGTAATACAATGGGAACAAGTGGGATGCTTCTTTCACTGATTTCCCAAAACTGAAAAAAGGAAATTCCTGAACACTACTAATACAGAAAATTATCTTAGTATTTTTTTTCCACCAAGAATCACGTATGGTAGAACAAAATGTTGCCTATATCAAATACCTAAGAAGGAATCTTGTGGAGGTATACATACAGAGCTCAGAGTCAGAAAAAAGGATAAACAGATGCTTTTAGGCATTCCCAGGCCATTCCTCTATCATTTTCTATTCAATGACCTTTCTTCCTTTGAATGTATTTGAGCATTCACTCCCACTCTTATCCTAAAAACTGTATCAATGCACCATCCTAGATCTTTCTTCCAATTTTAAAATTTCTGTATTACCTGACCCAAGGTCTTCCCATCTACTCCATTTTGTCAGTATTCTTGGTGTCTTTAACCTTTATGTTGACAACCTGCTACTGGCTCACACAATTCCTCAATTTCTTTAATATAAATTACCTCTACCCTCTGATTTATTTAATCTGTACACCAACATGGGGTTGGGGAGATCAGGAAAGGGCTTATGTAGAAGGAAGCATCTAAGCTTTGTTTTAAGGAAGCTATGGAGGAAGTAAGGGCGGAGCCAAGATGGCAGAGTAAAAGCAGTGACTTGCTAGAGCTCTCCCCCAAACCCCTCTAAGTACCTATAAAAAATGGCTCTAAACAAATTCCAAAGCAGCAGAACCCACAAAAAGATAGAGTGAAACAAATTTCCAGCCCAAGACAACCTGGGTGGTTGATCAGAAAGGTATATCATGCCAGGCTGGGAGAGGAATGAAGTTCGGCATGGGCATGTGGGCAACACAGGCCTCAGCAAACCTGAAGCAGGCCTCAGAGGACTAAATCACAGGCAGCTGTGGTGGTTTTCGGAATTCTCAATCCAAAGACAACTTGGAAGGTCAGTTGGAAAAGTCTGTGTCTGCGGTGAGAGAGAAGCCCAGGGTCCCAGCCCCACTCCCTGAGCACAGCCCTGGGGCGGCAGCTGCTTCCTGAGCTTCTGGCCCACAGACTGAGGGGGAATCGAGTGGCTGATCAGACAGGGATTGCGGGAATCTCTTTCCTGGTGCAGGATTCTCTTGCTTCGCCTGTGCTTGGATCTGGGTCACAGTTCTAGGTGGTGGCCCTGGGGCGAGGACCCCAGGTGTCAATGGCAATGAAGAGGAAATCCTCCTCACAGTTCCAAGTCAGAAAAGAGTGTTTGTGGTCACTCACAGACCAGAGCAAGGCCAAGAAAGGAGTAAACACCTCACTCTTGATCATAGCACCTTGGAAGAACTGAAAATTTACAGGTCTCTAGAAGTCTCTCTGAAAACAGCTGTACAAAACCCTTAAAGCTTGGGACAGTACATTCTCCACACTAGAAACAGACTCCCACCTTAACAAAGAGTTTATAACTCAAGTAATTGACTGGGATCATGAGCAAGCAGTGCAAAAACAGTCAGACTACAGAATCTTACTTTGGTGACAAAGAACATCAAAACATACAACCAGAAGAAGACAACAAAGTCAAAGCTCCTACATCCAAAGCCTCCAAGAAAAATATGAATTGGTCCCAGGCCATGGAAGAGCTCAAAAAGGATTTTGAGAAGCAAGTAAGGGAAGTAGAGGAAAAACTGAGAGTGATGCAAGAAATTCATGAAAAACAAGTCAACAGCTTGCTAAAGGAGACCCAAAAAAATACTGAAGAAAATAACACCTTAAAAAATAGCCTAACCCAAATGGCAAAAGAGGTCCAAAAAGCCAATGAGGAGAAGAATGCCCTAAAAAGCAAAACTGGCCAAGCAAGCTAGGTATTCTCACAATGCAGAAGTAAGGAAGGGGTGCATTCCGTACAATGGGAAATGAATGCCTACCTTTGCAATGGCAGGGAAACAAAAAACTCTCATGTATAGGACACAGCTAATATGCCAGTTTGATCAGAAGAAAACATGTAAAGGGTAATAATGTGAAGTAAAAATAGAAAGATGGTATAGAATCAGGAATCAGGGCTTTTTATTTTGTTGCTGTGACTTTAGAGCTTAGAATTATTAAAAAGGGCATTCGATTGACTAGATAATGCTTCTTTTGAAGGATTGAGAATTTTTTTTTTTAACCGTGGGATACCTTGCTGTCTCTAGGAAAAACAATGGAAAAGGAGCTTCTTACCTTGCTGTAATTATTTATCCTGTTAATTTCTTACCTTTTTCCAGGATAGTCAAACCATAACCATATGTCTGAGTCTATTCTGTACTACCCTCATTTATTATCTTGTCTTCTCAATTCAGTACAAAAGATTAGAAAAATATTGGGTTTTTAACTCAAGGAAGAACTTAATAGTGATAAGATTCTGTGCTTGTGATAAAAGGCTCTCATCTTGCTACTGCAAGAAAAAAGAATGCTCTGACTTAAGAAAATGCAGAATATTTTGTCAATTCTTCAAAAGCAGTTGGGAGCTATGTCATGAGGAGCTTAAAGATCAAGCAGAGGATTTTACATTTTATCCTAGAAGCAAAACAAGATTCTCTTAAGAAAAGAGTGTAAT